GCCAGTGGGGGTGGCCCGCGTTTTGTTGTGCATTCCGGGTGTGCGGGTGTGGCACTGCGTGTGTCGTGTGTGATGTGTGTGTGTGGTGTGTGTGGTATGTGTGTGATGTATCACGTGCGTGGTCGCGCGCTGTCGTTATATGTAAGCTTTATGTGTGTCTGTCTGTCAACAGTCATATCTGCGGGCAGTGCGTGTTGGCGACGTAGGTAGCAGCACAGACTGAAGGAGGCAGTTAGATTGGAGCTTATGGCACGGGCGACGTGACCGTGACGACAAACAGCAATTATAATCGCTCAGCGATCGCCGTTCCTCCTACATGAGATCACCTCTGGCAGCCCGTAGATTTTTCCCCTCCGTCGGCTACTCAACCCGCGTGGTTCGACTGGGCACGCGCCGTCATAGCTCTCCAATTTAGTATGCAAAAAGGTATATACATAGAAAGTGAATATATTTACTATATAATATAGAGACGAGAGCAGAGACCGAGCGACGAGAGATAGACTGAAGGCGAACGCGAGAATAGAAAGGAGTAAGAGAGAAGAGGAGAGAGAGAGAGGCGAGAGAAAGAGAAAGAAAGCGGACGAGGAAACGAGAGCGGATCGGAGAGAGAGAAAAGAGAGCAGACGCAGAGGAGCGGCGGAGAGACGGATAGAGAAAGAGATTTTCTATGTATTTATATTAGGATCTAGGTAGAAGCTAGCTATAATAGTTTCGGAGTAATGGAGTTATGATTAGTGCATTCGATGACGTTGAGTCGGTGTCGGCGTGCCACTTGAGTGCGCGAGTGGCCCGTGGCGGGGCAGCTGGGGACGTAGTATAGCTTCGTGAAATATCACGATGTCACGATGGATTGGGGCCCGCACAAGTGTTCTAGCGCGAGCGATCGGACCAGTATGTGCTTAGTACGGGCCGCGCGGTCAGACTCTATACACAGGTCAATTAGTATGCGCTGCAACAAGCGAACCCTGTACATGAAAAATCGCGATCACGCTCACCATCAATTCTCTGCTACGAGTCAGGGGCTATTGTCTGACCGGCACCCCCTTGTTAAGCTCGGGTCATTCTTCTGCAAATCGTCGACTTTCTATCCTATCTCATTGCTCTCCTGCCGCACTTCCTCTCTCTTTCATATCCTATCTCATCCTCCTCTCGTTGGTCTCATCTCTCTCATCTACTAATACGTAATATAGTTGTACTGAATTAATGGACTTATATAATAATATACGATACGTATATCATATACCAGCATAGTACGAATGATTACACACACACTACACATGCACACCCGCAGCAAACCACGCCACGGCACAGCCGCACACACGACAACACAATAATAGATAATATATAATATTATTATTATTATATACTAACTATATATGATTAGATATAGGGTATAACATACCAATAAAGCATAAAATAATATAACATTAAAATGTAACACAACCAGAGATGTAGGTTATAGCGAGGAAACCAGGCCGTGATGTTGCGAGCAAAGTGAATATTACAGATGGGACGAAGAAGGATGCGAAAAAGACGAGTATGTCATTAAAACATATGTAACGTTTTCTCTCTCTTTCCTTTTACTACTTGAATACTACCATTGGCCGTATGTTACCGTTTACCGTGGTATAGGTCCGGTTGCCGTTGTCGCCGCGCACCCTGACAGGGCCGTTACCACCCCGTACTTTACGAGTTCGATCACAAGGATCGCGGCGAGGCAGAGGCAGCCAAACACCCGAGCGTCAAGAAAGGGGGGTTCCGGTCGTCCAGTAAGAGATACGGAGGGGGTGGGGGGTGCCGGTCACGAAGCGAGAAGTAATAAGTAAGAAGTAGAAGTATGTTTATTATTTATTAGGTAACGCTTGCTGTAGCCTCGCGTCACACATCTACCAACACAGCGACAGCAGCACGTTCGCTCCGAGCCAGACTCGAGTCATCATCGAGCGCGATTCGACGCGTAAGACCATCACGCCACCGTAACATGGCGAACTAATAATCACTACGTGCGATTTAAACGCCAGTGCCTATACATCACAAATAAGGTCGGACAACAGATCACTTCGCTATACCGTAGACGGTCTAACGAGCGTCCTTCTCGCGGTGGCGACCCCTGGTGTACAAAATATGCGGAAGCTCGGTTCGCAGGGCGAATGCAAATTGTTGAGGAAAAACCCGCGAGTGTCAGGGTTAGCTTAAACTGTAGTAACGCGAGTGTTTACAAGCTCACTCACAACCTCTGATGTGTCTGCGCACACTCACCGCACACGCCAGCTACATATGATTATTACACCATCAGTATACATTCCGTACAGTACATTCCGTACATGAATCCTACATATATCCGTATAGGAATCCTACAGTATTCCGTACATTCCCTACAGTATACATACCACACTAGTAGTAGTACTAGTACCGTACGCGCACTAGGCCTACGAAGATCTGCTATGACACTGATTCACACATGCACGATTGATATCGCCCGGACACATTTAAAAACACAGCTGCTCTCTCATAAACTCTCGCGTCTCTCTCTCTTTTTGAGCCGTTTCTGCCTATTGTTTTTACCATGCCGTGGACCCTTCTCGCGGAGGGTACACACAAATTGTTCATTGCGGGACACCCCCACTATCGCTATCTCTCGTGAGATAAAACTATAACACCCGCTACAGCAACGCACGATCCTAAAAAGAAAAACTGCTACACTCCCCCCAACTTAAAATTGAAAAGCCCCTCCTCAATTTATACTACCAACTAAAAATAAAACATAGCAGATGACACATGCTATACTAGTCCACTGGGAGCAACCGCACGTTGTAAACACACATTCCGCTAAGAACAAGGGGCAACCGCCCAGCGGTAAACATTACAAAAAAATGCGTCAACTACAAAATAAACTAATCACGGCACGGGGCGCTTAGTGGGCCCCGGCATTATGCGAATCTCCTCCCCCGCTGTGACGTGGCCTTCTCCAGGTCCACGGGTCGGTAGAACGTCCGGCGTCGACTGCGACCTGTAGGCTCCCTGGCCCCCGGGAACTCGCTTGCCGACGCTCCGCCGTAGTCCTCACCACGTGCTATGGTCTCGGTCTTGTTCGGGCTGACGCCAGTGCTCTCCTGCATGGTTCCCCGATAGGCTGCCATAACATACGGGAGATGGTCGTCCCAGTCACCGCAGTGGTCGTGCAGTGGTCACCGATTGAACCGCTCCACCAGGCCGTCCGACTGAGTGTGGTAGGGTGTCGTCCTGGTCTTCTCAATTCCAAGTAGATCGCACACCCCGGCAATCAACCGCGACTCGAAATTTCGCCCCTGGTCAGAGTGGAGTGTCCTCGGCACACCAAACCGTGAGAAGAAGTTCGTGACGAGGCAGTCTGCCGTCGTCATCGCTGTCTGGTCGGGTAGTGCGTAAGCCTCAGTCCATTTTGTGAAGTAATTGCACAGAACGAGTATGTGCTGATTACCCGATTTGGTCACTGGCAAGGGCCCCATGAAGTCGATGGCCACGCGCTCCATTGGTGCACCCACCGGCTGTTGCCGAAGTCCCGCACGGCGCTTCCTCCCTCCTTTCCTCCTGGCGCACACGTCAGACTGCTGACACCACCTCTTGATGTCGGCCCGCATCCCCGGCCACATAAACCTCTGACACACCCACTCCAGCGTCTTCAGTGCCCCGAGGTGTCCTGACATCCGGGCCCCATGTAACAAGTTCATTATCTCCCGTCGCATCTCTGGGGGAGCCACAAGCCTTGGCCGCGCGTCGCCGCGCAGGTAGTCCGGTGACAATAGATGGTGCAGCAGTCCTCGGCGTACCTCAAACTGGCTCCAGTTGTGCCAGAACGTCTTCCCTTCCCAGGAGAGACTTGCCATATCATTGTAGGTGGGTTGGTCAGCGTGGGCCCGCTTCAAGTCAAGGATCTTCTTGATCATGGGATCCCCATGCTGCCACTTTTCTACCTGGGCGGTGTCCCAACGGTCTAGCGCCTCCCCATCCTTTTCTGGCACCGGGCTCCATTGTCCTGGCCGACGCCTCGCTCTCGCACGAAGCACCCGTCTCGCAACTGCAACACTGCAGTCTGGGCAGTCAGCACGCTTACACCGTCGACAACCAGGCTGCCGCGACAATCCGTCTGCGTTGCTATGAAGCCTCCCAGGGCGATGTTCGATTTTCAAATCGAACGTCTCAAGGTAGGCGATCCACCTCGCCACCATGCCCTCTGGCTCCTTGAAGTTCAGAAGCCAGGTGAGCGACGCATGATCGGTCCGCACGGTGAAGTGTCGTCCGTGGAGGTAGTGCCGGAATTGCTTGACGGCGGTCACGACGGCCAGCAACTCCCGGTTGGTGGTACAATACCTCCGCTGCGTCTGGGAGAGCGTCTTACTGGAGTAGGCGATCACCCGCTCCACTCCCCCTTGACACTGCGAAAGCACTGCCCCCATACCGGTCGCACTGGCGTCAGTGTCAACTGTAAACTCCCCCTCTGGTAGCGGGTAAGCCAGTACCGGTGCCTCTGTCAATTTCGGCTTGAGCATGCAGAATGCCACCTGGCAGCTCTCCGTGCAGCGAAATGGATGGTCCTTCCGCGTCAGGTCGGTGAGTGGCCATGCCACGGTTGCAAACCTGGGGATGAACCGCCGATAATAGTTGGCAAGGCCGAGAAAACTCCGCACCTCGCTAACATTCTCCGGTCGGTCCCAACCACTAACGGCCCCAATCTTTTCCGGATCACAGCTGACGCTATCGGACGACACCACATGGCCGAAGAAAACAGCACTCTTTTGGAAAAGGCTGCACTTGGACGGCCTCAGGCACAGTCCTGCCTCACGCAAACGCTGAAACACATTGCGAAGGTTGCCCAGCGCACCCTCAAATGTGGAGCCGAAAACAATAACATTGTCCATGTATACTAAGCACTCCCTCTACTGGAGACCTCTCAAGACGAGTTTCATTAGCCGTTCAAAGGTGGTGGTTGCATTTACGAGGCCGAATGGCATAACTCGGAGTTACAATAGGCCTCGCTTTTCCCCAAACGCAGTCTTGGCTGCATCCCGGTAATCCATTTCAACCTGCCAGAAACCACTGGCCAGATCAAGCGTGGAAAACCATGTGACCCCGGCGAGGGAATCCAAAGTATCGTCAATGCGGGGCAAGGGGTACGCATCCTTCCTTGTCACATCGTTGAATTTGCGGAAGTCGATGCAAAACCTCACTGCACCGTCCTTCTTGGTGACTAAAACCACTGGTGAAGCCCATGGACTATCGCTTGGCTGCACGATGCCAGCATCCAACATCCGATCGAGCTCCTCGTCTAAGGCCTGCTGCTTTCCCAGCGGACAACGTTGGGGAGCCTGCTTAATCAGGTAATGGTTACCCGTGTCGATGGTATGCTTGACAACACAAGTTTGGCCCAATGCTCCACCCAGTGCTGCAAACTGATTGCGGTAAGCGTCAACCGTCTCTATTACCGCACCACGCTGCTCGGTCGTCACACTAGCATCCATCCCGTTGATCAATCCTTGGAGATGTAACGGCACTTGCTGAACTGCCTTCTCCGCCGAGTTGCACTCGCCATCGCCCACTCTCCCTACTTGAGCAATGTCCTCTAAGTGGGCCAACTCTGCTCCCTGCTGGATAACGACCTCCTCGGACCCCACGTTGACTACTGCCAGAGGCACCCGGTTTCCCGCCGTGTCAACCAAACAATGCGCCATCACAACTCCCCGGCGTGCCCTGCCTTCAGCAAACCGACGCGTAGGCTCCACGATCGCCAGATGGGCGACCACCCAACCTGACCGGCGCACACTGCCATGCACCACGGCTCGGTGTCTCGCCGGAATTTGCACAGTTCGGGGCGCACACAAACGATGATCGTCGACAGGCCGTCCGCCGTAAAGGGCATGAGTAACCCCGTCGATCGTGAGGTAGCCGCGACCCGTGTCCAGTTGACAGTTGTGCTGGCACATGAAGTCCATGCCTAGCATGCCACTAACTTCTCTCATCTGTACTACCAGCACATCGTGCAAATAGCGCTGGCCACCAAACCCAAGCTGCACTTCACACTCGCCCAGCGTCGGTAATGGCCGTTGCTGAACGTCGACCACTTCTGCAACCGTGGGGGTCAGTCCAGGCTTCCCCTGAGGCAACCTTTCGTGGGCCCCGCTATCTAGTAGAGTCACCTCTGCACCGGTGTCCAGCAGGAACTCTACCGCCTTCCCACACACTACAAGTCCAACTCGCCAGGACGGCATATTCAGTACCGCCCAAATCTCCGACCTTCTCGGTTGCTCTGTCTGCCGTTTTCCTTGGTAGGCTGAAGCCCTTGGCACGGACTCCGCCTTCCCTAGTTTCCCGGCCTAGACCAGGCCCGAACAACTCCCAACTCTTTCGCCATGCACCCCGCCTTGTACGGTTGTCGCCGAGGTGATTCGTTACCTGTCCAACCTGCTCTGCCTGGCGGTGGTCCCCCGCATCCTCGTGCTGCGTCGGCATAGCTTTGTTGCCCATTCTCACTGTACTTCTGTGGCCCATGATGGTCGAGCTCTTCTCGCTGGCGTCTCCTCCGTTCCGGGCACTCTCGCGCGAAATGGCCCACCTCTCCGCACTCGTAGCAGGTCACTGGTCTGTGTCCCTGACCATTAGACCCTCTCTTACGATCTCTGGCCCTGCGGCTGCCAGGAGGCGCCGGGCGTTGGACGCTGGGTCCCCCACTACTTAGAAGGTCACTTAACATCTGCTTGATCTCCTGAAGATCCTGTGACGGAACAGCGGCTGCGGCATTTTCCCCGGAACTGGCTTCTTCGAATTTCGACACTGGTGCCACCTGGGGCTTCTTCAGCAGGGCGGGCCCGAGCACCACCAGCATGTCATAGTCGGTGGCAAATGCTGCAGCTGCTTCGATGGTTGTACATCCCTTGCTCAGGATATACGCGCGGTGGCCCTCTGTGGGCAGTTTATCCACAAGTCGCCCCTTGAGCCGTCGACTTAGGTTATCTGCTGCCGCCCACGTCATGGCCGACCAGGCCAGTTTTCGCAGCTGTCTCGCGTACTCAAGCCACTCTTCTCCTAGAAGACGACGGCGGGCCGCGAGGATAGCCTGGTCTCTCTCTTCTCGGTGAGCCGTCCCATACCTCTCCTGGAGTTCTCTTCGGAGGCACTCCTCGCTGGGCACTCCCTCGTACTCTTCCAGAGCATCCGCCGCAGGCCACACAAGAGCCGCCGCAAGCTGTTCTGCGCGCTTGGACGGATCACACTTGTTTCACCGAGCCGTAATGTCAAACCGCCGCAGAAAACTACCCAGCGGCGCACCAGCAGCCCCAGAGTAGGGCGCCAACTTCATGTCGGCGCGAGTCCTCCGTAGATTCCCCGCGTGAGGTGTCGCCATATCCTCCCCCGGCCTCCCGACCTTTATTCCTTGCCCTGTCGGCGATTGTTCCGCCTGATTCCAGGGTGTTTCTGTCTGCAGTTGCGGCTGCACCTCCCATGCGTCCACCTCAGACTCATCGCCAGTCATCCAGTCCAACCTCCTACCTTCACGCTTGCCATCCCGTGAAAGGTCTTCAGAGGCGCCCGCCAAGTCGATGACGTCTTGCAGCAACTGCCTGGCTCTTCTATGTCTCTGCTGCTCCACCTCCCGCACCGACCGCAGTTGCCCATCGATGCTCCGTGGCGGCCGCCGAGGCGTCTCCCTCTCCGCTACTACTGCTGGGCTGACAGCCTGACCATCCTCCAACAAGTTCGGTGTCAACACCGGTGGGCTGACAGACTCCTCCTCTTCACCTGCCTCTCCTTCCATTGCTCGCCCTGCCTACGCCGCGATCCCTGCTCACGGCACTACTGTAGCGTTTTCTCTCTCTCTCCTTTTACTACTTGACTACTACCATTGGCCGTGGTATAGGTCCGATTGCCGTTGTCGCCGCGCACCCTGACAGGGCCGTTACCACCCCGTCCTTTACGAGCTCGATCACAAGGATCGCGACAAAGTCGAGGCAGCCAAACACCCGGGCGTCGAGAAAAGCGGGGAGGGGGGGTTCCGGTCGTCCAGTGAGAGATACGGAGGGGGGAAGTGCCGGTCACGAAGCGAGAAGTAATAAGTAGGAAGGAGAAGTATGTTTATTGTTTATTAGGTAATGCTTGCTATAGCCTCGCGTCACACATCTACCAACACAGCGACAGCAGCACGTTCGCTCCGAGCCAGACTCGAGTCATCATCGCGCGCGATTCGACGCGTAAGACCATCACGCCACCGTAACACGCTAACTAATAATCACTACGTGCGATTTAAACGCCAGTGCCTATACATCACAAATAAGGTCGGATAACAGATCACTTCGCTATACCGTAGACTGTCTAACGAGCGTCGTCCTCGCAGTGGCGACCCCTGGTGTACAAAAATGTGTACACGTACATATACACTACCTACACATACAGCTACGTATAATTACTACACTCTTAGTGTAGGCCTACAGCCATCTGCATCAGCAGATCACTTCGCTATACCGTAGACTGTCTAACGAGCGTCGTCCTCGCAGTGGCGACCCCTGGTGTACAAAATATGCGGAAGCTCGGTTTGCGGGGCGAATGCAAAATGTTGAGGAACAGTGAGTGTCACCGTTAGCTTAAACTGTAGTAACGCGAGTGTTTACAAGCTCACTCACAACCTCCGATGTGTCTGCGCACACTCACCGCACACGCCAGCTACATATAATTATTACACCATCCATTCCGTACAGTACATTCCGTACATGAATCCTACATATATCCGTATAGAAATCCTACAGTATTCCGTACATTCGATACAGTATACATACCACACTAGTAGTAGTACTAGTACCGTACGCGCAATAAGCCTACGAAGATCTGATATAACACTGATTCACACATGCACGATTGATATCGCCCGGACACATTCTAAAACACAGCTGCTCTCCCATAACCTCCCGCGTGTCTCTCTCTTTTCGCGCCGTTTCTGCCTATTGTTTTTACCAGGCCCTTCTCGCGGAGGGTACACACAAATTGTTCATTGCGGGACACCCCCACTATCGCCATCTCTCGTGAGATAAAACTATAACACCCGCTACAGCAACGCACGATCCTGAAAGCGAATCTGCTACACATACATTTAAAGACCGTAACGCAGCCACTGTAACTATAAGGTATCTACCAGCCGGCACACGTTATATTGGGGCTTCTTTTTGTTCATAAAGAGAGCTGCTGTTATGAACACTAATGCAAATTACATTTATCAGATACCTCTTCTACAGTTATTTTCTTACAAAATGTCATTTCTATCAATAGTAACTGCGCATGCGCGAACACATCTTCGCCGGTAAAACAACCAATGTTTGGAATAATCGGCAATAATGTTTCGCAGGTTGACGTTCGCACATGCACAATACCTGCGCGTACACACACGCACGCACGCGCACGCACACACGCACGCACGCGCACGCACGCACGCAAGCAAACAAACGCCGCGTACAAACAAGGAGCCGCATGCTGTGTGTACACGTCCCCAGTATATGCGCGTACGTATAGCTCTACGCGGCGATGCTTCCCGTCAAAGAAAACCCATTAAACGTGACGGATGTCGATTATCCCTGTAGCTCTGCCACGGATGGGCTTGCAAGCATGCACGGGCTGAGACATGCTTCACGAGCTCTCTCCGATGTCGCGAGGTAGTCAACCTGCGGCTAATGTCAAATCTCCTGTCGACTGGCAAAGGCAATCATTTCTAAATCAGCGACGGGTTGCCGCGGCGGCGCTAGCTCTGATCGCGTCTGCTCATCGTCGTCGCTGCATGCCCGCCGACGCTGAATCCCTGCTGGAGAGAGCCGATGCCAAAATAAGTGGAAAGAGAGATAGGGTAGTAGGGGAGAGAGCGAGAGAGGGTAAAAGTAAAGAAATAGAGAGAGAAAGAGAGAGAGAGAGAGAGAGGAGAGAGAGAGAAAGCGCGAGAGAGATTTGTGGAGAGAGATGGGGTGACAAGGAAAGAGGGGGAGAGGGAAGGATACACAATAAGAGAGAGAGAGAAAGAGAGAGAGAGAGAGAGAGAGAGAGAGAAGGATGGGGAAGAGATATAGGGTGCGCGCGAAGGAGAGTAAGAGCTAGAGGGAGAGCACGAGAGAGAGAGAGAGAGAAAGAAAGGGGGAGAACGAAAAAGGAGAAAGAGTTTGGGAGAGATATAGGAAGAGATACAGAGAGGGAGAGAGAGAGAGAGAGTGGAAACAAAGAAAAGATGGAAAGGGGGGAGACACAATAAGAGAGAGAGAGAGAGACAGACAGACAGAAAGAGAGATAGCGCGCGCGTGACAGAGAGAGAGAGAAAGCGAGAGAGAAAGAAAGACACAGAAAGGGAGAGAGTGGGAGAGAGAGAGAGACAGAGCAAGAATGGAAAAAAATATTAAGAGAATGGGAAGAATGGAGAACGAGAGAATCGAAGACGAATCGTTGCTCCGGCTGTGATTCACGCCAAATGCGACTTTGAATAACCTGTCGAACGAACGTTGATAAAGATTGCCACGAGCTAGCGAGCGAGCACTCAAACTAAACGGCGCAAAAGAACGCCAATTACGCCACTGTCCACGAGCACCGCGTAGCTGCATCTCAATGTGGCTTACGGTGCACATGAAGTTGACGCGGGGTGTGGGAGGCGTCATCTTTTGAGGCGTCATTTTGATGCTTCTCAGGGGTCATGGGCGACTGACGCAGAAGTAAACGCAAGATGAGTGAATGATCATCTCATGACGAACCAAGGGTCATCTTCACATGACACAGGAATCATCGCGTTGTGAGGCTCCAGGGTCGGCCGTTGGGATTCGACTGAAATAGAACGCGCAATTCCGTAGAGAATGCGTAGTTACACGTAGGACGGGAGATATGAGGAATGCGGGGAGGAGGATGGGAAGGGAGGCGAGGGAAAGGGTGCCATCGTAGCTTCTTATATAGGAAATTTACTACAGCCGAGGCTTGACGCTACACGCGCATTCCTGCCGACAGCTAATCACCGCCTGCCTTCATCAAAACGTCGTGACGATTGACGACACAATAATGACGGCGGAGGGCGCTGGGTTTCTCTTGATCAGCTCAGGAATTGGAGCGCCTGCGGCGAGCTAGTGGATGGACAGAGCTAATATAGAGCGGTTGCCACCGGGGGTGATTTGGAGAAAGATGAGTCCTGGATTGGAAATTCTGATTGAACAGCGCGCGAAGCAGAAGCGGCTGGCCAGGGATCTCAGTGGCATGGGTTGAG